TTGAAAAGTTCGGACAAAACCCCTTGTCCGTCCGTCCGTCCGAAAAAAAATTCGGACATTCGGACCGGACGTCCGAAAAAAAATTTCGGTTTTCGGACATTCGGACCGGACGTCCGAATCTTTTTTTCGGTTTTCGGACGGACGGACACTATTTTTACTATTACAAATGATTACGCTGGAAGAGCGGAGAAAGATAGCACAAATATCACTTGTCCACAATGTGATATGTGGAAATACTTCATCGAAATACATTTTGAGCAAAATAAGTTTTAAAACACCGCGACATTGGACAAGAAACTCAGATTTCCTTTCAATACCGACGCATCAAAATTGCTATTCCAAGTTTGAACCTATCAATTATATGTTGAGTACATACAATGAATTTTATAAATACTTTGTTCCTATCAAACCACCTAATTTACCAGATGAATGTAATATTACTACTATTCCGAATTGTGATACTTATTTAATTGATTTTAACACAAGTACAAATACTGTAAAACAGAGAGTAGCTGATTATTTCAAGAGAAACAGAATTTGGAGAGAGTAAAGTCAAATAGAATTAATTATCCCATTGCAAACATTGTAAATATAACAAGATTTATTTATGCTAAATAAACCACCTCTGGCGAAGAAACGCTGTATGGTGCAGAATAATAATAATAATAATAATAATAATAATAGTTTTCTATCCATTTATGAAGTGTTCCGAATTTCCCCACCATTTTTGAAAATCGCAAAATCAAGGGTTTTTTGCCAACAGGGTACATTTTTTTCAACCGATTCGAATTTCAACAAGCGACAAGTGCCAAAAGTTAGGTTTTTACATTTACTAAGTCGTACCACTTTAGAATTTGAAAAAATGTTAATTTTTTAGAATGTTATTAAATTATTTCGATGTGTGTTCCGAATTTCCCCACCTTCCCCTATAGAAATAATGATGTTTATCTGTGATTTTTACACAATCTTTAAAATAAGTAGCAACATTAACTGTGATATAGCCATCCATTGAGTTGGTGATTAACTTTTGACCTGCCATTAATTTATAATGGAAACTACCGTTTATGTTAATGTATTTACAAGTATTGTAAATTTTTTTTTCTTATGTCTTTTGGTCTCTACTAAATTACAAATTCATAACTACCAACATGGACTTGTTAGATTAGACGTAAAACTTTTCTTCAATGTATCACCTCTGGATAAATTGAATGATGACTTTTGCAGTCATTGGGGCCGTCACTACAGTGTTAACGCTTCAGTTGGCCTTTCATTTTTCACACGTTTAAGTTAGGCTATATTGGACCGTTTACATTTCGGCTACCTATGCATTTCCATGTATTGGTTAGGTTATCTTATGTCAATGCTTTTAGACCAAAATGTTATACCAATCGAGAAAGACTATTATAACTATTTATTGTATAAAATTACCATATATTGTACAAACACAAAAAGATCAGGTTTTTTACGACTCTTGGAGTCGTTTTCCTGCAAAACAAAATATTCAGCCAGTTTTTGGCGGTGTGAAATAAATAAATATACCGTTTCAGTGAGTGAATGACGTAAGCGATTCGATATTGTAATCTCCACCCATTTCGTCGAGTGTGCTGTATTGCAAAACATATATAAAGCAGACGTGTACTGCTGTGTGAGCATCATTCTGTTTTTGAGTGTCAAATGAGTAACAATTGTTAAGCCACAAGGAAAAAATATCTGGATGCGCATCGAACACTGAATGCGCGCAAAAAATGTCCCTTTTAGTATCATTTTTCGACGACATTTCCAACGATTCGGTTCTTCATTTTTCCAAATAGTTTTCAATCAAAACAAAACATTAGATGAATATTCAAATCTTGGCAAATTTGCCAAAATGTCTTTGGGTAGGGCGATTTCAATTGTAGATTTTATGTAGTTTAATGTAGTGTATTTACTTTTTTTTATGTAGGAACAATTTTTTTGAGTAATCGGCTATCGAAAAACCGCTCCAAAATGGGGATACTCAAATCTTGGTCAAAAAAACGAATTTTCCATGAATCAAATGTTTTTTCGAATGGAGACTGGTTTTAAAAAATTGTAGATAAATTGTAGAATTCAAATCAATTGTCTGTTTTCAAATATGTCTGCCCGTTCGTTCGATATCGCGACGAGTCATGAAAATTGGTCCAAAATCGGTTATACTCAAATCTTGGCCCCAAATCGAACTTTCCACAAACTAAATCTAGAATTTGTAGAATTCAAATCAATCGTCCGATTCTTGATATATTCAACAACTTATTTGACAACAGCAGTGTTTTGTTTTTGTAGGGAGAAAAAATGCTCCAAAACTGGTCCAAACTGTTTTATTAATTGTAGTAACCCAGAATTAATTGTAGAACAATTGTTGTTTGTAGATTGGCGCTTCGGAGCTATTTTATATGGGAACTGTCAAGAAACCGCAGTGTTGAGATTTTTGAGATACCTAATGATTATTTTTTAATACAAAAAGTACGGACGTCAGTACGGAGAAGTTTGATATTGCGAATGTAATTCTTTTAATTTTATCATCATTTTGTTTTGCAGTTATAGTCACAAAAGGTTATGTTTTCTCTGTGTACCGTTTTCAATTTAGAAATAAAATGAGTATGTGAGATTTCGGAATGAAACATTCACCATTTAAAGTAAGCGATTCAACCTCTATCATATTCCTACCTCTATCATATCCAAGCCCAAGTATTCCAAGTTGCTTAAACGGGTAGGTTTTTTCTTTTCAATCTTTTCAAATATAAAATCTTCTGCCCGATTGCCAGGATTTGGAGTCAAAACTGCCTCGGTATTTCTCAATAGTTTCTCGGTCCATAGCTTTGTTTGCTCCGCTCGGTCCGCCAAACTTTCAAAATGGGCATCTAGTTCAGTTTTTTCGGAGGTTCCCAACTTTTCCTCTGTTAGCTAAATATTGATAAAAAAAATCAAAAAATTATTCAGTGATCTACTTTATCAGTTATAACAATGTATAATTTTTTTTAAATTCTTATTATTCTTAACTTTTCTACACTCCCAAACCAAGGGGGAAACTACTACTACCGCGTAATTCATATTAATACAATCTAGTACAACACAAATTCTGAAAAATTCCAAAAAATTCTGCGCAATTCAAAACAATTCCAATCGATTCCGATGTTCCTTAGTCAAATTTGGTGATGATCAACTCAAAATATCGCAAATATAGGGACATTTACCATTCATTTGAATGCATATTGAAGATTTTTTACTTCCAGAACATATTTGACTTGGTTTGATCTACAAGACTCAATTCTAGCTCTGTTTTCCATTTTAAAAATTTTTTATGTATCATAAAGCCTTTACCTATTTGAAGTGAAATATTGAATTGGAAGTGAGACCTATCTACAATTAAAAACGCCATATCTGAAGTTATTTCGATAAGATTGAACATCTATGCGCTTAAGCATTCCTTTGAGATGCTAAATGACCCTATATATGCAATTTTTGAAGTTGATCATCATCAAATTTGACTTAGAAACATCGGAATTGATTGGAATTGTTCTGAATTGCGCAGAATTCTTTGGAATTTATCAGAATTGGTGTTGTACCAGATTGTATTAATATGAATTATGCGGTGGTAGTAGTTTCCCCCTTGTCCCAAACATATGATTTTCAATTAAATCTAATTCTCCATGCATTGAAATTGGGAAAGAATCATATTTTAATCAGACCTTAATATCAGAGCGATTTTAATACTCTGTTTTTTATACATTGTGAAACCGATTCTTAATGGATCACAAAATCTGGGGCGATTGCAATTCTTATTTTTTGCGTACAGTACACTGTACCACACACATACACTTTGATCCTAAAATAACGCTAGATTTCGCTATTTTCGGCGGTCAAAAATCGAAAAAACTGATTTTTAGTGGGTCAAAAAATCTGGGGCGATCCCAATACTTTTCTTACACGACATGGTCGTATGGAAAAGTAATAATGATATTATTCGCGAACGTTTTCGGTAAACATTTTACCATCATCAGGAGAGTTTGTGGAACTAAAACTAAATACAATAATTGTCACAATGGTTACTAAATGGATTAAATGTTTTTCGTCTAAAAAATGTGTAAAATCGTCTAAAAAAAATATAAAAATCGTCTGAAAAAATAATTCATTTTGAATCTAAAGAAATTGAGAAAATCGTCTAAAAGGTGTCCATATTTTTTGGGGTGAAAATCGTCTAAAGAATTGAGAAAATCGTCTAAAGAATTGAGAAAATCGTCTAAAGAATTAGTAAAACCATCTAATTTGAATTTTCAATTTTTTTGGTAAAAATCATCTAAAGAATTCACAAAAACATCTAAAGAATTTGTCAGAAGAATTGAAAAAATCGTCTAAAGGAATTGCGAAAATCGTCTAAAAAATTCTCATATTTTTATGTGTGTAAAAAACATCTAAAATAATGTCGAAATCGTCTAAAAGTCCGATTTGTTTTTTCTGGCTTGAAAATCGTCTAAAAAAATAATTCATTTCGAATCTAAAAAAATTGTAAAAAACGTCTAAAAATATTACAAAAATCGTCTAAAAAATTGAGAAAATCATCTCAAATTCAAACCAAAATGACTACCGCAGGAATGCCCAGTGTGTTTGTGTTGAAAAATATATTTTGAAAATTCAATTCAATTCAGATGAATCAATCTCTTGAACCTTGACTGCATATCGACAGTATGTAAAGGTGCAAATGATTATTCTCTCAACAAACTTGAATTAAGTCGAGAGAATTTTTCATTTTTCCAAATTAAACTAACATTTTTGATTCACAATTCACAGAGTCTCAATCGAATGAAAAAGTCCTATCAAAGCCACCTAAAAGTAAGGAAAACGTCAGTCCCAGTGCAAATGGTGTGTGTTGAATGTTATTCAATTGTGTGCAATGAGTTTTCAAAGAAAAAATTAATGAATATGTTGAATTTTTAGCTTCAGGAACGGGTCCAAAGTCTGTGGTGAAAGCAGTACCTTTGGCAGTCAAATCTGGTGTGAATGTCAAGATGAATCCATCTCAAATTCCAACCAAAGTGACTGCGATGAAAGCAGTACCTACGACAGTCAAGTCTTGTGTGAATGTCAAGATGAATCCATCTCAAATTCATATATTGATAATAATAATGTCCAAAATTTGAATATTCTGCCATGTTCAATAACTGTCGAACATCTAAATTGTGATTTCACGCAATGGTTGGCCCAGAACGGCTTCGGATTTGGCATTGGTCTAAACAATAATGACAAAATTCTATACGTTTGATAAAATAATAAACTGATCAAAAGCAACTAAAAAAATGTTTTTCAAATTCTTTATTTTTTTGAATATCGTGATTCAAGCCAGAAAAAACAAATCGGACTTTTAGACGATTTTGACATTATTTTAGATGTTTTTTACACACATAAGAATATGAGCATTTTTTAAACGATTTTCGCAATTTCTTTAGACGATTTTTTCAATTCTTTTGATGTTTTTTTAATTCTTTAGACGTTTTTCTAACATCTTTAGATGACTTTTACCAAAAAAATTGGAAATTCAAATTAGATGGTTTTACCAATTCTTTAGACGATTTTCACCCAAAAAAAATATTGACACCTTTTAGACGGTTTTCATAATATCTTTAGACGTTTTTTGCAATATCTTTAGATTCGAAATGAATTATTTCTTTAGACGATTATGACATTTTTTAGACGTTTTTTCAAAATCTTTAGACGATATTCAAGCCAAAAAAATAAAATAGGGCTTTTAGACGATTTCGACATTATTTTAGATGATTTTTGCATAAAAAAAATATTGAAACTTTTTAGACGATTTTCGCAATTTCTTTAGGAGGAAAAGGAACAATTTTTTGAGGATTCGAAGCCCCGTTTGGAGCTGTCTAAGCAAAATTTGAGTTCATTCGAATAGATGCGGGCCATAAACTGTGGGTAGAAATCGCCAAAAAGGGTTTGTAGCGACCAAGGTCGCAAAATATGAGTTCGGGCATCGTTGGTGGTATTAGGTATAGAAAAATCATCATAAACCAGTGGGAAAGGTAAAAAATAACATAAGAAGTCACTTATGCATCATTTTAAACCTAGCCGAATGTCAAAACTTGATAAAACATAGCAAATTTGGCGAAGAAAACTATGTTGCGAGTTTCACGTTCAAATGCGAGTTTCACCCATGTTAAAGAACTGTTAATATGGTGATAGAATTGAACGAAATAGGTTTCAAATTGCTTCACTAACCATTGTGTTTTTTAGGCCCGGTCACTCTCTGAACTCTCCACATGAATATACTTGAATACAATGCACCAGAAGAAAGTTATACCGTTTAAACGGCAAAATTAGAGCATTTTTGGGAGTCTTTCACTCGTATGACTGTAATTTGGGAACTGATGGTCGGATTTGGCTCAAATTTTGACTGGATTCATGAAAAGGATTCTAGTTTTTGAAAATGATATGGATTACTTGAAAAATTAAACTTTCATTCATTTTTTCAGGTCATTTTCAATCCGCCTAGTAAATCACGGTTAATGAGTGTACACATGCGATTTTTTGTTAAATATGTCTTCGGTATTCAATGGTTCCGAAAATTTATATAAAGATGTTTCAACTTGCATAATGTGGTACGGTGTTCCATTCCAAAAAGAATAATTGCTGTTGGGCAAAAACTGCGGATTATTCGGTGATTGAAAAGATATTTATGATGCTGAATTTTTTGACGATCTGTATTCCGTTTTTCGTAGGGACAGACTACTTCAACGTGGCGGTGGAGTACAAATTGCGACTAAAAACGAAAAATTCTCCAGTGAAGAAATAAAAATTGTCGGTGCTGACGATTTGGAATATGTTTGTGTAAAAGCCAGTAACAAACAAATCACACGTCATCTACATCTATGCCCAATGAGGAAAACGTTACAGTTGTACACAGTTGGAGAAATTACATTGGCCGTGCACAAAATGTGTACAACTGTAACGTTTTCCTCATTGGGTGGTGCATACATTCCACCAAATTCACCGCAAGCAGTTTACGACTCACATTTAGCGGCCATGCACCAAATAGCATCTGATCCAGAGGATGTTCTTATTTTCATTGGTGATTTTAATCTGCCGCATGTGGAATGGTCAATCGATAGCGAAAATGACAACATTATGATTCCAACTAAATTTGCACCTGAGTCAACGGCCACTTTCCATCCAGGGGCGCATGAGCATGGGAGTCCATCAGGTAAATCATGTCCGAAATGAATCGAAAGGTCGCCTATTGGATTTGTTTTCCACAAATGATCTCACCAACATCACAATTGAGCGTGTTGTTAAGGCCAACACATAAAGAAAAAAATTGAAAGTCATCATCCACCGATATTGGCTACATTTGAATGGCATGAAAACAACACAACCGAAGCCAACATTACTACAAAGGCTTTCAACTTCAAGCGGGCCAACTATGCTGGCATGAATGAACACCTGGCAAGCATCAACTTCCTCGCATTATTCCATGGAAAGACAATCACTGAGAAAGTGAATTTGCTACATTACATTTTAAACGATGCAATCATAAATTTGTGCCCACGTACATCGTCAAATCGATACAAAAATGCCCATGGAAAAAAAAATCACTAATAACATTGAAAAACAGGAAAAACAAGGCAGGAAAACGTTACAGTCGGTCTGGCTTCAAACCGTACTTTGAATGGAAGTATATTTTAGCATCACGTGATTTTGATATACTCAACATGGAACTCTACAACACATACGTGGACAAAATGAAAGCTTCGCTCAAGTATGATGCATCGAGATTTTGGCAATATGTCAACTCGAAGAAGAGTACTGACAACAAACCGAAAGTCATGCAACTTGGTGACGTGCGTACGGCAAACGAAACTGAACAGGCAAACCTGTTCGCTAATTTCTTCAATAGCAACTACGATGACTCAACGACTCAAGGCGTTCAACAATCACCTGCATGAGTCACAGCAAACTGAGGATTTCCAGCTCGATATTAATTTTGTGCTCGAAGAGCTACAAGCCGTAAACACCAAGAAAGGTACGGGTCCCGATGGTATGCACCCGTTGATACTAAAGAATTGTGCGAGTTATTTGGCGGCTCCACATACCGAGATCTTCAATGAATCATTTTCAGCTGGCCATTTCCCTGACAAATGAAAGCCCTCGAGTATGTCTCCCATTTTCAAAAAGGGGGCGAGATCGAAGATTGAAAACTATCGTTGCATTGCTAAGCTCCAAACTGTGGCGAAGTTCTTTGAGCATTTGGTGAACGTAAAACTTCTGTCTCTGGTACAGTACAAAATCACCAAAAAGCAACATGGCTTTATGAAGTCCAGATCTACTGCATCTAATCTCACTGATTTTATCTACTATGCCCAAAGAGGCATAAATTCTGGTGCGCAAGTAGACGTTCTCTACACGGACTCCAGTAAAGCGTTTGACAGAGTTAAACACAAGAGATTGATTCTGAAACTCAGATCGTTCAACCTGCCAGAAAATCTTCTTGCTTGGATTGAATCATACCTGTCAAACAGAACGCAATTCGTCAAGTATGAGAGCAACGAGTCGAACGAATTCGACGTATCATCTGGCGTACCGCAGGGAAGTCATCTCGGACCCACTCTATTCCTGCTGTTCATCAACGACATAGTGGACGAAATGGACGATGTCTTCATTTCCTTGTTCGCCGATGATGTGAAAATCGCCAAAATCATCCACACGAGCACGGATGCGGAAGTGCTACAGCGGGCCATCGACAATTCACCTTCAAGCGCGTATCGGACCACAAAGATTTCGGCGTCACCAAAAACTGAGCTTTGTCAAGCACATCGACGCAATTACATTGAAAGCAACGGCTGCCCTTGGTGTCATCGAGAGATTTTGCTATGACATAATCGACGTTCAAACGCTCAAAACATTGTACTACGCATTGGTTCAGTCTCACCTCGAGTACTGTAACGTTGTATGGCTGCTAACTTATGCCGTACATATCGACAAAATCGAGAGCGTTTTGAGAAAATTTACCCAGTTCGCCTGAAGAGAATATCGTACAGCGGCCAACGGCCAACGGCCAACGGCTACAGTATCACCGACTACAACAAACGACTTGTGGCGTTGAACATGACATCGTTGGAGCGTAGGAGAGTGAATACATCAATTGTATTCATGTACGACATCGTCAACGGGATTTCAAATTGTCCCAATGTACGCAACGATACCGCAATTGCAGAGAGCGTACGTAGGTTACGGCACACAGACTACCTCAAGATTAAAGATAAGATCATGGACAAGCAATTCAGATCGCAAGTGCCTCAAATGTGCAAGTTTGCAAACAAAGTGGATCAATTCAAGAATTCAACCAGCCGTACAAACTTCATCTCATCGGTACACGGCGAAGAAAGAAAATATTCAACATAAAATACTGACAAATTGTTATCTTACATCCCTACAAAATGTATAGAAATAATGATATTTAATTGGATATTTATCTGGGATTTTTAGACAAACTTTAAAATAAGTAGCAACATTGACTGTGATATAGCCATCCTTTGAGTTGGTGATTAACTTTTGACCTGTGATATACACACAGTATTTGCGAAAATCGGAATACTTTTTTGTGTCTTTCGGTCTCTACTAAATTGTAAATTCATATCTACCAACAGGGACGTTAGATTAGACGTAAAACTTTTCTTCAATTTATCACTTCTTTGATGAATACAAATTTTTTGAAAAAATAAAGTCTTTAAATGATAAAATAATAGAATAAATTGACTAAACACCAAATTATGGTTTTCAAATATAAAAAAGTAACATCCCGATTTTCGAATTCAGAGGATCCCGAATCTGGCAGAAGATTCCGAAATTTCAGTCCCTGGATAGGATAGTAGACTTTGAAATTTAGTAGTTTTGTCATTTTAAAAATAGTATATGAATCTTTTGTTAAACAAAAGATTCATATAAATATATATTCATTAAATGAATCAGTTATATTTTGAAATATCTTCAAAATAAATTCAAATTTTCCATCAAGTACAGTGCGCCTCCGCAAATTAGAAACCCGAGAATTAGAAAACCTCAGAAATTAGAAATGAATTTAAGGTTTAAAAATTTGTATGGAAAATTTCTAATTTCCGGGGTTCATTTCTAATTTACGGGGTTTTCGAATCATTTCATTCAAGACAAAGGGAAATTTACTTCATTTTTAATGAAAAAACGTAATGAAAGTCTTCTCCATTTCGTTAAATAACTATATCAGCAGACCAGCTTGAGATTTTCGACGTTTACCCCGAAGTTAAAAATTAAGTCAAGAAGTAATCTGTTCCATATTGTCTGCGTCAATCATCAATCATTAACAAATCGAAACCGATTTGTTCCATCAGAGAATTTACATATACAAAATTGTATATAGAATGCTAATGTTTTGATATAATAAGAACAGCCAGTCATCATTTATTTCGGTTTGTTCCGAGGAGTAGTTTATCCAGTAAAATAAACTAACGGACTTACTATATATTTATAATCACTAAAATAACTGCATGTATTTACATACAATACTTGATTGAACAGTGTTCAATATATTGTTTTCAATTAAGCAAATCATTCCCCCTATCAGTTTTTCATTTGATACACCGTTTGTGGATGAAATTGAAAAAATCTCAGAAATTAGAAAACTCCGCAAATTGGAAATGGTCTCGGGGCATTTCATTTCTAATTTGTGGGGGCGTACTGTACGTTTGACAGTAGTATATGCTAAATAGCTTGAGCTCGCCTTCACAGTATTCTCCATGAGAATCGATGTAATTTTAATTAAGCACTAGGACTTAAAGTTATCAACGGACCATTTTAACCCAACCTTTTTTTTTGGCTTGAACCCCGACTTTTTCTGATATTTCAATTTTTATCAAAAGATTTTCAGTCTTGAGGAGTGGAAGCGATGTAATTCATAAAAAAATATATTCATTGATGAATGTAGTTTGTAGTCCCAAATTTTTAAATGCACGTATAAACATTGCGCAGGATATCAAGACGGTCTCAGTTTTTCACTCATATACAAAGTGTGTATAGTTTGTCAAAAACCAAATGTTGACCAGGAAAACTCAGGACTTTTAATTTACTATTTAAAAAAAAATCTGAACAAACTTGATACCATCATTCCTGATTTATCATAAATATTACCTGAACAACTCGTGAAAGAGTGCTGCCCGCCTCTTTGACCAATTTTTTCACATTGAAATCTGGCATTTTCATGTTCATGTTGAACGGAAATTCAGAACTTATTCCTTTTCTTTACGTGAATCAAAGTTATTGTGCGTGATATTCTTTATTTAAAGGAATATTTTATCTTCCTCTTTCTATACAATTTTTTTTACTCTGACCTTATAACACATAAAATTATTTACATAGGAGAAATTGAAAATTTGAAAATAACTAAATTGTGATTTTGAAAAAATGTTTATTTCTCCTAAATAAAGTTTTTTTTTTCAAATAAAGCAAAATTCCGGTAAACTTGAACTATTATTTATAAACACATGAAAATAAATTGACTGCTTGACTGTTTTGACATCAAGTCAAGTAACATTCAAGGTTTTAGCGAAGTATTAAAATGATGATGAACAGCAAGACGAACTGAATTCGTCTGATTATACGCTTGTACAGTGTATGTGTCATGTTGTATGTATACACTGGTATATGTGTTGCTCTGTATTGGTATGTTGAAATGTCATTTCAAGTATGCCTCGGCTTTCATATCTTACCTTCTTCACAGTCATTGTTCTTGAATATTTCTCACATATAATAATAAATTATCATCCTTGTATAGAATACTGTCGCCGGGATTATGATTTTTTGAATGACATCTGCTCCCAGTGTTTTGATGATAAAATAAACCAAAAAACTGGAATAGTTTCTTCGAAAGTGAATTTGGTACGCCACTACCACTTAATCTACTCTTTGGATACAGGAAGGTGTGGAAGGTTACCATAAACACCATTGAAGGTCCTCGAAAGAAAGCTGTATTGAAATATTTTTCTATTGATGATGTGGTGGGAAACTTCAAGAAATCGTTATGTCGTTATGTTGACTGTTCCACATTGAGTAATTTCAAAGATGAGTCCAGACTATCAGAAATTTTAAAGAACATGTATCGAATGGAACCACACACAAATACGATCTGTCCATCATACTATGACACCAAACATTTTATCGATACATTCCATCATTTTAATGGCAATAACCTAACTTTTTGGCTACAACTCCTTTTGAACCCCGAATTAGTATAAATAATGCTGCTTGGAAGTAGTCTAATAAAATTATCGTAATTATTAAGGCAATTCAAGCAAGTAGCCAATCTGAAAACCTAGTGTTGAAAAATGCCATTCCCAATGTGATTGATTGGTGTGGTTTTGTTTTGTTGGAAACCGACAAGGGCTCTGATAATTTAATAGCGTTCTATAATGAGCTATGCTTAGTAGGATCAACTTGGCACAACAACTTCTCGAAATTGCAATTGAGGGGCTCAGAGGAAAAATGTTACGTAGAAAAGTTCCGCGGACAAATATTCGGGAGCTAAATGATATCATTTAGCACACCTAAATGGTATCATTTAGCTTTAGCAGAGCTAAATGGTATCATTTAGCTCCGCTAAATGATATCATTTAGCTCACCTAAATGGTATCACCTAAATATGATACCATTTAGCTCTGCTAAAGCTAAATGATACCATTTAGCAGAGCTAAATGATACCATTTAGGTCTGCTAAAGCTAAATGATACGATTTAGGTGAGCTAAATGATATCATTTAGCGGTGCTAAATGATACCATTTAGCTCCCGAATATTTTTCCGCGGAACTTTTCTACGTAACATTTTTCCTCTGAGCCCCTCAATTGCATTTTCAATCGGAATAAAAGGGTTCAGGTGATTATGGTTAAAACCAAACCATAAAGTTTGAATGAAATACAAAATGTATTTTAATTTTAATTGAGATAGAGCACAACAATGCTAACAAAAACAAGTATATTCCAAATATCCATGGATGTGGCATTTGCTCTTTGAAGTAATATCGAATCTACAGATACCGTTTTGTCTTTACCCTCCAATTGAATCAATTGCAAACAATAATTAGAATTGTCATTCATAGGATCTACATCACAGACGCCACACCGGTAGGTCAACGTTGCGCATTAGTTTTGTTGATCTGGACAGTTTGTTCATAGGTAAAAGTATGATGATAAACATATTGAAAGAATAAAAAATCGGAGAAAATATTTTAATTTTACAGTCGATTCTGAAGAAATAAAATCAAACCAAATCAATTGTCATCAACGCATTGATTGTATGGATTGTTTCGCATATGTTCCAGACGAATTGTATGCATTTCAGTTAAGCGACATAAACTTGTATAGTGTTTGTCAGATTTTTCTTGAAGTTGCTGTTGGCACCACTAAACCCTTTTTACACTCGATACCAGATGATTTGGACCAAATGCATCAGCTTAACAAGTTAATAGATCTTTGCATTAACTGCGATAAGAGAAATTTTTGTTCCAACCGATTTTATATAGCCAATTTTATCATCTCCGCGTTTAGAAATATTTCAAAGAGTTCATTTAACAGCGGCATATAGTTTTGATCGAATATTAGATTCAAACACATTTTTTCTATCTCGGTAATAAAACGAATTTACAAATTTTTGAATCATTATTTTCTTCAGTAAAATGGCTTCACACCATTTTAATTTATATTTAATTTTAACTGAATACAAACAAAGAACATGTCCGATTTACTGATTGTCGTTCGCAGGGCTGTCAAAATTGTTTAATTCAAAAGAAGGAGCTGGCATCTGGTAAAGCCATTATAGTTTCTTCGGTGATTGGTGCTCCTGGTCGAAACAATTCGTTTGTACCGTATTCATCCCACTGAGCCAATGACTCGTAGTTATCCAACAATCGTTTACACCAATAATCTATTATTGATGCAATACTTCCTGCATCGCCTCCATACTCTGTCGGCAGATATCGTTTTGGAATATACCGATAGAGTGATTCCAAATCGTAGCCATGGACAAACAGCTAAAAGAAAAATAGTTGAATTGAATTTTTTCAAAGAAAAAAATAAAAGAATACCCACTAGTTCCTTGTACTCGTTGCTCATGAATGATTTAAACATATTAAAAACAAATTCAAAGCCATCTGGTGTGTTAACATAATGGAATCCTTTCGGTCGTATGGGAGAAGAGTCTTGGCAGAGGTGGGTCATCTTTTTTACAAAATCCGGTTTGAATTGTGCGAAATGCTCAGCAGTGCAGTTCGTTCTACCTTCCGTTAATAGAAAATCGGTGAATAACACGTAAATTTTGAAAATGTCCACAATATCGAATTCTAAATACAGACAGAAAATATTTTATTTTTCATTCATTTTAATGTTTTGAGGAAAGCAATTGTAATTATTTTGGTATTCACCTTTTGGGTTATAGTGTCCTGGACGAATGAGAAAAATCCTCGGACCATCTTCTCCAGCGGTGGAGTCAGGCAGCGGGATAGTCGTTCTATAGATTAAAACGCTTTACAATTTTCAATTCAATGAACCAGTGGACCAACGATTTTATTACCCTAGTTTTAAAAGTTTAGCCAGTTTCATTGTCCGAAAATCTCGTGCTTTTGTTATTTCTGGTAAGACTTGATGAATGGGCATGTGTTTAAAAAATAAATAAACAAAAATGATCGATTTGCCGCCGCTTACCTGATCTCATTGTGAAAAACAAATCAATCTTTTGCCTCGCTAAAGCTTGGTTGTATTTAGTTCCCCGTAGAAATGATATCAAGAATTGATCATCTGAAAATTCGACATTGGACAAAAAAAATTATAAAACTGAAATTTTAACTTATCCTATCAATACAAACCTGTGCGTGCTTTAAGATGTGATTGTTTCAATATCCATTGACGAAGTGCTTTAATATGTCCGTCTATTTCGGATTTTTTTTCAAAAATTTCTTCTTGCGCTCTCCTGGCCAATTGTGGCGATAATTCTCTGATTGCCATTTTGAATTAAATTTTCGATGCAAATTGCAATATTAAATCTCACAATCATACATATAACATTGCGTTTTCAACGAAATGACAACATGTTTATGTCATCAAACGTCATCTTTTTTAAGTCACATTTGACAGCAAGGATGGAGAATTTTGAAATCAATATCGATTTAAGTAGCACGTATTGTCATACACAGATTGAATTCTTTAGAAGAAGAAAAACGTATAAGTTGCAAAACAGGCAAAAAATACATTTCTTTGTCATGATGTATTACAGAAAAACGGCCAATCTCGTGCAGATTTACAGTATAGCAAAATACGTGGTAAAAAGAATCTGATGAATTACCAAAATTTCACGGGAGTTTTTATTGGAACACCGCGATTATTCTCATTTCACAGTGCAATTTTCACCTATATAAAAATCGAACTCTTCTCTGACAGTCAGTTTAGTTGGCCGGTAAATCTGTATAAATACAACAAATTCTCCATAATTTGTCGAACCCTGTTTTGACATTTCTAGTCTAACACACTCTCTCATGAACGTACTAGTCGGAAGAAACGTATGAAAAATACTCATGTTTTGGCAAATCTAACAATAATTGAACCATTATGTTTTCGGTTTTTCGGTTAAATTGTGAACTTTTTCCAAAATATTGTGTTTTCTAATGTTCATGTTCGATATATAATCACTCGTCGTAACAGCAAACAAAAAATTGGAACCCTTTTCGTATTTTATAAATAGAAAAACAAATTTTCATAAAATAATGAACAGTGCTATCGATTTCGTAAAACATTAAAAGAGTATAAAATAATTAAAGCACGGCGCAGCTTGCTGCATAGATTATAATAGATATTATTTAACAACACCTTGAATAATTTTAAGTGCGTATTGAATTATATTGAATCTGATTCTAATCGGATGATATGTGAGCTGACGAATTTTAGAAACAAGCTACAACAAGAGCGCATGGAAGGAAATAATCATCGATTTAGTTACGTTATAAATTGAAATAAAAAAATGGCAAAATACTATGAAACGACAACAGTATTCAATTTCAAATGGGATCAGGTGGCTCAAGGGTTTTGGCATCGATACCCCAATCCTCATAGGTAGTAAACCATCTCACATATTCTACTATTATTATTGCCATGTGTCATATAAAGTATTAATGGTATGACAAAAAACAAATTTTGTATATCATTAATTCTTATCAAATAGGCTTATGTAAGAATTGACAAACCAAGTCGACCTTATTTTGAATGAAGAATAAATGTATAATTCATTTAAATTACTTTAAGAACAGCTTTTACACTTTATTTTTTTTTTCTTTCAACAACTCAGCCAGCATGTTTTGACAGAAGATACACTGGAACGCCATATTCACGATGGGAAATTATTTAGTAAACGATTACTATCAAAAACAAATCACGTACCCAAATGGGGTGAACGATTCTATAACGCCAAGTCAGTTAAAATTGTGGAAGAATCAATTTTTGATCCAAATGAGAGAATCTTCACCACATACACTAGAAATATCGCATTTACTAAAGTGATGGTAAAGTATCCAATGATCAGGATAAAAAAAAAGGATTCTTGTTTTGAAACATCAAAAAAAATTGTAAATTATAATTGGTAAAAATTGAAAAAAGAAAGCTCAAATTTTGAAATGGTTTATATAAATTTGGTCCCGAAATGAATTAATTGTTTCGCTATTTTGGACCGCTACAATCGGCTACCGACTGCTATTTCCATGTTTCGGTTTTCTCTACTTGCTGAAAAATGAGAAAATCGTCAGAAAAAAATCGTTAGGAAGTCAGAAAAGCTCTTTAATTCAAAACAGGAAGAAAATCGGGAAAAATCCTGAAATTTTTTGATGTGCCACACCGATAGATTCTATATATTTCATTCTCATTCACAGAGTGTGGTGGAAAAAGTGGTTTATAGATGTAGTGACTCTGAGCCGGGCAGAACAATTGCTACTCGCTCAGCCTGGATTGACTCACAGATGTTCGGTTTTTCGAGAGCCATCAAAACATTTGGATGCGAAAGATTCAAAAAGAACTGCATGAAAATGGTAAATATGTTGCTGTTTTTATATTATTAATTCCGAATTTTTAACTCCATTCGAATACTAATTTAGGTCAATGGATTCAATTTCGTTTTGCACTCTATGTTTCCAACATCAACAGCCGAATTTAATCCTATAATTGGATCTAATGCGCAACATCATTCACATGTTGCTAAAGCATTTACATTGAAGGAAGTAGCTAAAAAGGGGTCAGAACAAGTCAAAGTTAAAGCTGAAAATGCCATTGGAATAAACTCAAATCAACAGTTATTGAATTAATTTTTTCTATAAATCATAAATAAATTTTCTTAATAAAATTGATTCAAGAGAACACAGAAAAACAATATTCTTTCAACGACCTCACCTTGCTGAGCTTCACAACTATACAATTTGAATGTTTGACTGTCTACAGGGTGTGCCATTTTTATTTATTTATTTATTTACAAACCGCCAAAAAACTGGCTGAATATTCAGTTTTGCAGGAAAATGACTCCAAGAGTCATGAAAAACCTGATCTTTTCGTGTTTTTACAATATATGATAATTTTATACAATAAATAGTTATAATAGTCTTTCTCGATTGGTATAAAATTTGGTCTATAAAAAGCATTGACACAAGATAACCTAACCGATACATGAAAATGCTTATGTAGCCGAAATGTAAGCGGTCCAATATAGTCTAACTTAAACGTGTAAAAATGAAAGACTAACTGAAGTGGTAACACTGTAGTGACGGTCCTAATGACTGCCAAAGTCATCATTCAATTTATCCAGAGGTGATACATTGAAGAAAAGTTTTAATAATTTTTCTAATCTAACAAGTCCTTGTTGGTAGTTATGAATTTGTAATTTATAGAGACCAAGACATAAATTTTTAACAATATTCGCAAATTAATTGACAAAAAATCTAGTTCCTATTATGAAGTAATAAGCAGTCAAACATTATTAATCACTAGCTCAAAGGATGGCTATATACAGAGACGTGGCTCAGAGAAGATATTTATGATGCTGAATTTTTTGACGATTCATATTCTGTTTTTCGTAGGGACAGACTATTTCAACGTGGTGGTGGAGTACTAACTGCGACTAAAAACGAAAAATTCTCCAGTGAAGAAATAAAAATTGCCGGTGCTGATGACTTGGAATATGTTTGTGTGAAAGCCACCACTAAATCACACGTCATCTACATCTACTGTGCATACATTCCACCAAATTCACCGCAAGCAGTTTACGACTCACATTTAGCGGCCATGCACCAAATAGCATCTGATCCAGAGAATGTTCTTATTTTCATTGGTGATTTTAATCTGCCGCATGTGGAATGGTCAATCGATAGCGAAAATGACAACATTATGATTCCAACTAAATTTGCACCTGAGTCAACGGCCACTTTCCATCCAGGGGCTCATGAGCATGGGAGTCCATCAGGTAAATCATGTCCGAAATGAATCGAAAGGTCGCCTATTGGATTTGTTTTTTACAAATGACTTCACCAACATCACAATTGAGCGTGTTGATAAGGCCAACGCACTAAAGAAAAAAATTGAATGTCATCATCCACCGATATTGGCCACATTTGAATGGCATGAAAACAACACAACCGAAGCCAACATCACTACAAAGGCTTTCAACTTCAAGCGGGCCAACTATGCTGGTATGAATGAAGACCTGGCAAGCATCAACTTCCCCGCATTATTCCATGGAAAGACAATCACTGAGAAAGTGAATTTGCTACATGACATTTTAAACGATGCAATCATTAAATTTGTGCCCACGATAAACACATAAATCGATACGAAAATGCCTATGGAAAAATAAATCACTAATAACATTGAAAAATAGGAAAAGCAAGGCAGGAAAACGTTACAGTCGGTCTGGCTTCAAACCGTACTTTGAATGGAAGTATATTTTAGCATCACGTGATTTTGATATACTCAACATGGAACTCTACAACACATACGTGGACAAAATGAAAGCTTCGCTCAAGTATGATGCATCGAGATTTTGGCAATATGTCAACTCGAAGAAGAGTACTGACAACAAACCGAAAGTCATGCAACTTGGTGACGTGCGTACGGCAAACGAAACTGAACAGGCAAACCTGTTCGCTAATTTCTTCAATAGCAACTAGGATGACTCAACGACTCAAGGCGTTCAACAATCATCTGCATGAGTCACGGCAAACTGAGGATTTCCAGCTCGATATTAATTTTGTGGTCGAAGAGCTACAAGCCGTAAACACCAAGTACGGGCCCCGATGGTATGCACCCGTTGATACTAAAGAATTGTGCGAGTCAATTGGCGGCTCCACTCACCGAGATCTTCAACGAATCATTGTCAACTGGCCATTTCCCTGACAAATGGAAGCCCTCGAGTGTATCACCCATTTTCAAAAAGGGGTCGAGATCGAAGATTGAAAACTATCGTTGCATTGCTAAGCTCCAAACTGTGGCGAAGTTCTTTGAGCATTTGGTGAACGTCAAACTTCTGTCTCTGGTACAGGACAAAATCACCAAAAAGCAACATGGCTTTATGAAGTCCAGATCCCCCGCATCTAATCTCACCGAATTTACCTACTATGCTCAGAGAGGCATAAATTCTGGTGCGCAAGTAGACCATCAGATAGTGTTTGTCCATCAGATTGTCCTTGATCTTTAGGTAGTTAGTGTGGCGCAAGGTACGAATGCTCTCACCCACTGTTATATCATTGCGTACAGTAGGACAGTTTGCGTATCCATTCACGATATCGTAAATAAATACAATTTATGCATTTACTCTCCTTCTTAAACCTTGATTCCATAATCGCACATCATTTAAATAAATACCTAAAAAATATCATTTCTGATCACCAACATGGATTCATAAATGGGAAATCGACAATAACAACTTTAATTGATTTTACCACAACTGTTAGTAAAAGCATAGACAAACACAAACAAGTCGATGCGATTTATCTTGACATCTCACAAGCATTTGATGCAGTTGATTGCGATTTATTATGCCACAAACTTGAAATTATGTGCCTCCACACACAATTATTGAACTGGATAAGAGAATATCTAAAGCACCGTAAACAACTTGTGCGAATAAATTCAAAAACCATTTCCAACCCAGTCAACGTTACATCAGGTGTTGGCCAGGGATATCCTATCGGTGCAACTTTATTTATCATGTTCTTGATCGACTTTCCCAACTCGAGGGGCAAACCACTCAAAAGTAATACTGTGTATTAGTATTACTTTAAGTAATACTAATGTAAATATTACCTTGTATTACTTTAGTATTACTTTTTTTAAACCATAGTATTATTTTTAAAAGGAGTATTACTTTATCAAAAGTAATACCACTTTTACCTAGTATTTACTTCGTATTACTTCGCAGGTATTATGTATTACTTTTGAGTGGATTACCCCTTGTCCCAACTACATTAAGGATTCTTGGCTCCACCTATTCGCCGATGATTCAAAAATCTCGAAATCAATAACATCTATAACCGATTGCCACACTCTACAAAATGATCTAACTGCTGCGAATAAATATTTTAAAATTAATCGACTGAATTTGAACGACGCAGCGCCTTGTTGTCAATTCCCATACAAACGAGTCCAGAAGTGACAACTGCTGTTAGCAAGAGTAACTACAGTACAACTTACGTCAAATTCAAAAGCTTGTATACGTATGTATACATGTTTAAGTTGAAAAATCAACGTTCTGATTTTAAAACGTAAAGTCCGGGAAAGTCAATTTTTTTCTCGTGTTTTTGTCAATACAAGAGTAACAAAGCCGATGATAAATGACAAATGATGACACATTGATGTAAATAGTGAAATGCTGTTCGATTCTGAGCCATGAAATAATTTTTTCTTTTAATTTTGAAAATATATCAAGGGATATTAATGACTTCAGTGAAGTCAAGCACGTTTTTATGTTCGTGTGAAAAAACAACCATTCAAAACCGTTCAAAACAGTTGATAACAGTATATCCGAGTATATCCAATAACCGGAATATGAAATGTCAACAAATGAAATTACAACTCGATGGAACTTTTTTTAGTCACTCTTGTGTTGACAAAAATACGCAAAAATACGGAAACATTTTTATTTGAAATTTTAAAATGAGAAAATTGATTTTTTGCATTGGAATGAACAGTAAAATACGCTTTTTGATTAAAAAAAACATAACATGATTCTCGTGAACAGAACGTAAACAAATGAAGTGACACTTGTTCGTATTTATTCAAAACAGTGAAATTCCTGTATTGTTTTATCGTAAAATTTGATTTTACGTTTAAAAATAAGAAGATTGATTTTCATGCAACAAAATTTACGCTATTTAGTGAAAAAAAATAAAATAGAGCTGGAGAACAGAAAATCGCTCAATAAGCAACTGACACATGTATACATATATATACAAGCTTTTGAATTTGACGTACGTTGTACTGTAGTGACTCTTGCTAACAGCAGTTGGCGTAAGTGCAGAGAAGGCGCTGCGTTGGAATTTGAACGTGAAAAAAACAAAAAAGATATCATAATACCGCGGTAACAACCCAATCGAATTTATCTACACCCTTGGCGATTCAACAATAGACACTGTTACAGAAATCAGAGATTAAGGTATGATAATGAATCAAAAAATGACATTCAACAACCATATTAATCACATCGTATCAAAAGCAAAATCGCGACTAGCCTGGATAAGACGTTTCTCCAAAGAATTCGACGACCCATGGACTATTAAGAGACTATTTGAAACATTTGTTTTGCCTATCGTCGAATATGCATCTCCAGTATGGGCGCCTGAACAACATCTAACACACACCGACAAAATCGAATCAATTCAGAAACAATTTTTAAAATTTGCGCTACGCAAGTTCAAGTGGCCACATCGTTATGAATTACCTCCATATAGACATAGACTGCTATTTTTTCACATGAATACTTTAGAATATAGGCGATCAATCGCACAAATATTATTTATTTTCTCATTGATAAAGGCTACCATCTCTTCATCTAATTTGGTCAAGTTGCTAAATTTTAGAATTCCAAATAGATATACTAGAAATAAAAATTTACTAATCGAAACTAATTCCAAAGACCCACTAAATAACATGGTGACTAAATTCAATAAATATGCTGAACATTATGATTTTAATCAAACTATTGAATTTATAAAGGATAAGCTAAAAAATTTCTTCAAGGGCAGAAATCTGTAAATAATTATAGCACACCAAATTGATTTATTTACTTATTTAATCATTACTTGTTATTTAAATAAACCACATAGGGCAAAGAAATGCCATTGGTGCCGAACATTATTATCTTTCTAATGATGACATATCGAG